GGTTTGGGAATACAGCAGCTCGCTCAGCTGCTCCCGCCAGCCGGGCGTTGTGTCCGGAGCAGGCCGGGGCCTGAGCACACGGATGGAGCGAGTGAGGCCTCTGGTGCCTCCCACAAAGCGCAGGCCTCGCCACGCTCCCTTCGGCTGCTGGTGTCTGCCAAGGTGCTGGTTGAGGGCTGGGAATGAATTCCCTGGGACTGTTTCTGCTTTGCTCTGTGCCTGTTTTAAAACAAATAATAAACTACAGGCTCCAGAGCCCTGTCCATTGAGCCTCCCTGTGCTGAGCGGGCTTTTAGTCCATTTCTCTTCCTGGAGCTGTCTGCTTCACTTATTGCTTGCCGGGCTGAGGAATGACACGCACATCTCCCTCGGCTGAGCACTGACAGTTCCAGCTCTCATCCTGTGGTATTTTTAGACCTGCTGACATGAAGAAGCTCCTTTCGTTAATGTCCTGTCTGTAGAAGTAACTTAGTTCAGATGTGTGTAAGGGGGTTAGTAGAGAAACGCTGTGCTTGGTACATGAGCCAGGTTAGAAAGTGACCCTGCTGGCTACTGTGTGGCCTGTCCAACTGACAGGGTGACTGCCAGCTGTCTCTTCCAGGATGACTAAAGCCTTGCTGGAGAAAGATGGCGTGAACTGGCGCCAGACGCTCCCACCAATCCCTACAGTCCCTGTTTCTGCCCAGATGAGGTGGAGCAGTCCTTCTGCCGGAGCCCCCAGGGCAAACACTCCTCCTGCAACTGCACCACAGGGAGGACCAGGTGAGAATGTGCCCATGGGCCAGGTACAGAGCACTGTAGCTCAGCAGTGCAATGAAAAAGGCAGCTGCCATGCCTGCTTGGCCTGTCTGCAGCTGGGGCTAAGGCCTGGAGAAACCTGGGTCTGGTTCTGCCACAGCCTCTTTGGTTGATTCTGGATCCTTTGATGTCTCTGTCTCGCCTCTGGTATGGAGATATTTGCTTTTTGAGAGGCTGCGGTGATCTTGTCAGTTTTATAGTGTTCTGTATTCTTTCACACTGTTTCCAGACCAAACTGCTGCTGACACAGAGAGAGCTCGAACTCTAAAGGAAGAAGGAAACGAACTTGTAAAGAAAGGAAACCATAAAAAAGCAGTTGAGAAGTATAGTGAGAGTTTAAAGCTCAACCAGGAATGTGCAACTTACACCAACAGGTACTACTTGGCTCTTTGCCTGAGTAGTTCTTGGCCTTTTGTAAAACCCACATGGTACTTCTGACAGAGCTGTCTAATGTCTGTTCCCAAACCAATGAATAAAACAAAAACACCCACACGTTTGCCTCAAGTGCAGACTTCCCTGTAGTTTGTATAACATTCTTTGATCAAGTACTGCAAAAACCCTTGGAGACACTTAGTTTAGGGCTGCTAAGGGATTTCTCTCTTTAATGCTTGTCTGCCAGGACTCTGTTAGTTTGAGTAGTGTTGTCTGCCCCATGAACCACAAATTGCAGACTGCTATAACTCCTAAGGCAGCTGCAGCAAGCAGAGCATATTCTGGACTGGTATAGCTAGGAACCTGCATCTGTGAAGGGCAGGTTCTCAGCTTTAGAGAGGTTACTCTAAAAATCCTCTTTTTTTTTTTTTCAAACTGAAAAACTCTTTCCTTTCCCCTCCTTTTAACTGAAACAAATTTGAGCTTAAGAAGTAAGATTATGTAACGTAGAAAGCTGACAACTGTTTTGGAGTCCAGCTTTGTGCTGCTATGTATGTTGCAGCAGTAGATGCTGCTTTTAGCCAGGTGTCTCTAACCAGGTAATTGTATTGCAGAGCTCTCTGTTACCTGACTCTGAAGCAATACAAGGAAGCAGTACAGGACTGCACAGAAGCTCTGAGGTTAGATCCTAAAAACGTTAAGGCACTCTACAGACGTGCTCAAGCACTTAAAGAACTGAAGGTAAGTCAGGAGTTTTTTGAACAATTTTAAGCTAAAACTACAAGCCTGTTCATGCATGATCAAGGCAAGAGATGCCATTCAGAGCCCATTTGCGTGCTAGACAATATCTGCCATCAGATAGCTGAGACGCGTGTGGACTGAGGGGGGGATGTCCTTTCACATCACTATTTGCTGGTTGGATCTCGTGAGTTTTTCAGCCCTGGATCCAGTTTCTGGAGATGCTGGAAACAGCTACATGTTGCATTGAGCTTTATCTTTTTATGTCTGTTGAGAGATTATCCGGGCAGTACTGGAAGACCTATTGCATTGGAGTTGAACTCAGAACCCGCTACAGGGCTTAAGCAATTATACAGAGGCAGTCATAGAGCTTAGTTGCCTTTCAGGGTAGTAATTTGCAGCAAGAGCCCTAGACTGCATTTTCAATGTACTAACACTTAAAAAATATTCTCCTTCTAGGATTACAAATCAAGTATTGCCGATGTCAAGAGCTTGTTGAAAACTGAACCAAAGAACACCGCTGCACTGAGATTACTGCAAGAACTCAAGAGAGCCTAGGGTAACCAAGCAACAAGGAAAGCTTTGTTTTCCACTGCAGAAGAAAGCTTTCTCGCTTCTGATGTTGTTACAGGGACCAATCTTAATGCAGTATCGGTTTTGAAATCAGTCTTCCACTGCTGCTGAGATTTAACAGATCAAAGTTAATGCCCCTTCTTGAGAGGCATATAGGTTAACTTCCCTGGCTGAAGTCAGCTTGCCTATAACTATTGGCCTCAGGGACTCTTTACATGTTGGTTAAGATGCATGTGAAGTGGCTCTTCTCTTTCTGAAGAGCTACAGAGGGTGTTTTTTTGTCCTTATTCAGGTGACAGTTTTGCTGCATTTGTGCTGCTATTACTTTAAGTTGCTGCAGGAACTGCTGCAGTTGCCCTAGCACCACATGCTGTTCTTGTGACAGAGGCACAGTTACTTGCACAGGGCCGAGCTTGTTCCCTCTCCCCCTTGATGCCTGCTGGCCCTCAGCTGAGTTTCTGCTGCTTAGTTTGGCTGGGCAGATGTTTGCAGTAGCAGTTGTCTTTTTTTAGTTTTTCTGCACACTTAAAACAGCAGCAAGTTAAGCCTTGTTACACTGTGCACTACTACTTTCAGATTCTGGGTGCTTGGGCATTTTACCATTGTTTTTTGTGTTGGGGTGGGTTTTTTTGTTTATTTTTTCAAAACCACTTTAGCTCCTCTGTGCCTTTTGGAGCAGTTGCTATAGGATGTTACGGAGGGAGCATATGCAGTAACATCCCAGGTGAAGTCTGGCTTACTACTTCAATGCATGTTGATACTTTTCAATCTCCTTATCTGGTATTGATGGCACTGACTTAACATGGTAGATAAAAAGATATTTGGAGTTATTGTATGAACTGTTAAAACCATTTCTCATTAAAGCCATGTTTTATTTTCACTTTAGAGCTGTGTGGTTTATATAATGGATGGTATGGGGGAACTAACACTTTTTTTTTAACCACTTTACTTCATACTGTCCCCTCTTTTTGTCAGTGTACAGTGCCTTGCTTTGGAAGCCAGCTGTCAGACAGTGACAATTCATTGGTCAGCCTTGCACACTGTGCATGAGTAGAGTGCTTTAACTAGTAGGTCAGGATGCTGGACAACACTAGACCTGAACCAACTGCTTAGAGCATAGACAAAGAGATGGAAGCTAGGCCATAAGTGAGGGCTTGAATATCTTTGTTTCCCAACTTACTTGCTTCTCCCAGCAGTCAGGGTTTCAGGCAGGTCCTCCACCAAACTGAATTTAGAAAGCAGGCATCACTTTAATGCCATTAAAAGACAGACAAAGATTTCTTATCATAGCCTGACACTAAGTAGCTTTTTGTAGGTCCCAGGTCTGTACTCCATCAGCTGTAGTGGGCCAGGGCTTGAAACAGCTCCTCCCTGAGGGGCACAAATGGCTCCATTCACTCCACTCTGACTTCTAAGCACTGCGGCCCATTGATCCTGCAACCAGCACTTGCCTCAGTTTTTAGCAAGTAAGTGTGATGGATTTCAGGGTGGGCAAGGGCAGGCCAGCACTACACAGATAAGCAGAGAAAGGTCACAGAATACAGGAGGAAGACTTGCTTCACTTAGTTAAGAGCTATCTGTTATCTAGAGTGGCAGATAACTGCACTGTTCAACTACAATTCATTACAACACCTCTAAGCAACAGCATGCACCACCTCTTTCCCCTCTCAGCAACAGAGATAAGGTACAAAATTACATTGCTAAGACTTTCCCCAGCAATACCACCAGGCAGACAAAGATCAGGCACAGCAACAAGACATACTACTTCAAGCCCAGGTCGCTTCTGCTCCTATCTCCCCTTCTGTTCCATCAACAGTGCCGCTGTCTGTGCAGGACCCTTCCCAGGCATGCAAAGGTAGTGCTGTCCATATGGGCAGCTGGAGAGCACTTGTCAGAGGCATGTCTTCATCCATACCTTTCAAAAGCCACAGCAACTATTCCAAACTAGAGATGCCAGATTCACATTTGCATTGCTGCACCTGCCTCAGTTCCCTAAAGCCTCAGACTTCTCCCAAGAGTTCAGCCAGGGAGCTACTCTGAAAACTTTCAAGTGTCTTCCAGTATACATGAGGATCCAAGCTCCAACATCATCTTTTCTGACAAAAATCTGAAAGACCCTCGTCCTTGTTCATGTCCTTTTTTTGGCTTATTCTGATGTCCCCATGTTCCCTGGCCCCTCTCTGCATTCCCTCGAGCTTTACAGGGAATACATGAGCTTCTCAAGCCAAGCCATGCCATCTAGCATTGGAGGTGGTGTCAGGCACATCTGAACTGGCCTGTTACACCTGAAAAGAGGTTGCAAACAAGCTAGCCAACAGCAGAATGAAGTTTACTTGTGCCATTCTATTCCAGCTACTTACATGCATTGCACTCATGCAAATATACGTTTTTCCTCTGGAGACAAACAATAAAAGCTTCCAGCCAATTCCACTTTGGGAGAAATAACAACTTAAATGAAGGTCCTGTATATTAAGTGGATTAAAGTCCTTTATAAGTATCTCTGTGAGAAGGAGATATCTAAATAGTGCACAGTTCAGGAATCCACTATGAGGAAAAGACATACTTAAGGAGGTGACAGGAAGAATTGGGAAAAAAAAAAGCAAGAAAAAAGAATGATGAAAAGCCCCAGGGAAGAGTCCCAGCTGAGCAGAGCAGACACCATGCTGGAGCAAACATGTAAGTGATTCTATTAAAATGCTGGAAGGAAAACAAGAAGTAGGAGGGATGACTCAGCAGCAAACTGAAGTGCGAGTATGATACAGCACAGAAGGAAGATGGAGACAGCAACACCAGCACACAAGTTGCACAGAAAGAACGTAGGTGGTGCTGATGGAGGTGTGCTCCTGTCAGCTCAAGGAAGCAGTCAAGTAAGGTCAATACATCCCCAGTCTTGAGTACCAAGGAGCCTCTAGGGACCAAAATTCCTTTCCTAAATAGGAAAAGCAGAGCATTAAGGCCAGGATGATGACAGTGACATGCTCTGGGAGAGGCGCAGAGAACAGAACACAGTAATAACAGGTCCCAGCTACTCCTGCAAGCAGGGAGCGTTCCAGTTGGATGCGATGCAGTTATGAATGTTATCAGGCCCATCAGTGACTCCTTGAAACTACTGGTCAGGAACACACATTGGGGAAGCAGCTTTTGATTTACAGCTACTCCTCAATACCTCAAAAGCTGGGTCTTTTGCGCCAGACACACACACACAGTGAGGTGACCAGCAGAAGACACCCAGTGCCAGTGTTCCAGCAGGCATACAAGGTCCATTACAAAAGGAGAACCACAGGTAGATGATGCCTTTTAAAAGGGAGTTGAAAACAGCTAACTAGAAAGGATAAAAATGTAAGTAGATGGTGTGAAATTTGCTTAAAGCCAGCCATCCTCCTAGAGAGTCAGAAAGGACCAGGAGAGCCTGTTGGTTGGCAATTTGTTAATTTAATCCTATATATCCCTTCCATCAGCTCTCGGGACTGCCACACCACCAGCATCAGAAGCTTCAAACACTAATTACAGCAGCCTGACCTAAGCCCACCCATCCACCTGCATGAAACAAACAAAAAAGGTATCTGCTGTCTTTCTGCAAAGGAAACTAACCCATGCTTTGGGGGTGAAAGCATCAGTTCTTTATTAGTGTCAGCTACAGGAACAAATAAAACTACAGAACCCAATAAATTCACTAAAAATGATGATTCATCAGCACTTGTAATTTCCTGGGCAACTGAACCAGGCTGGGTTCCACACTACATTTCACAAGATGCTTCCAGCAGCAAGAAGAGAATTAACATGGGGATTTTTTTACAGGTGCAGGAGGAAGCAATTCTGCAAGGTTTACAATACGCACAAAATATAAGATAGGGCATTGAAGACAAGCCAGGGTCACTGTATGGGCACGATTCCAAAAGCACAGTGGGGTTGCTGCTGCTGGTCTTCAAAGGCAATGTTCTCAGGGCTCGCCCTCCATCCTGAAGTCTACAAGAAACAAAGAACCCACATATGGCAATTTTCAACTGCTACAGGATGAATTTCATCCAGACAGGATGAAATTCACCTGAACTTGGATTAACATGCAGTTTCTTTGAGATCACAAGTCAAGAAAATACTATCTTCAAAGGGATATGTGAAAGTCTGAATTGCTTGTCAATGAGCTGTCCCAGGCTCAGCAGCAGGGCCAGCTCTCCTGGTCAAGCCCACACAAAACCACTAACATTTCATAGGGATTGTCCTGGTCCCCACTTGACCTACAGAAAAGCAAGGTCCTTCCCTATCTTCCTTTCTGGTTGCACAGTTGTTGCCCTCATCAACATAGAAAAAACAACCAGACAGAACCATGTCTCTGCAGTACGATTAAGTCTGGAAACCAGAGGATGGAATTTAAGAAATGGAATATTAGAGTCAAAGATACCTACGTTGCTCGTCAAGCCTTACTCAGTCTGGACAAGAAACCCAATCCCCAGTTTCAGAGTCAGAAACCAGAGACCCTGAGCACACGCCGCTGCCCGCAACAGCTCCCCGCACCTACCCGGCGTCACTGCAGGAAGGCCACGGCGCTGCTCTTGTGCGACATCTCCGTGGCCTGGTGCGCCTGGAGAACAGCCACCGCTTCCTCGATCTTACAACAGAGAGCACAAGGAGGAGAAGTTGAGTTGCTCCAATGTAGGAGCACACTGCACAAGAAATGCAATATTCCAGGTCTGGTCTGGCCTCTGCACAGACCCACTTCCAAGAGGTAAAGGACTTAAAAATAATAATAATAACAAAAACCAAGTTTGCTGCTTTTGCAGGAGACTGATCAGCCAAAAGGCCTCTTCTGTCTCTTCCCTAGGGAAATGCTGGGCATCTCTCCTTTCCTACAGGAATCAGAGCTCGCCAGAGAGAAATCAGACTTCTCCATAGGTGAAGCTGCCTGACACCACCCAGCAGAGCCCAAGCTCCTTCACAAAACATCAGTTAAAGAGTGAAAGCAAATCCTATCTCCAAGGAGCAACAAG